CACCTCAGTCTGCAGCACTAAAGGAAGCGATAGATGATCTTGAATGGCCAGGATCAAGTATACTGATCATTTTACAACCTGTGCCTCCTTGTGTTACCTTCAAAGGAGAAGGGCATGGAGATTTGCATGTATAAGTTGACTCTCGCTTGTGCAAATGCAAGTGTTGATGATTTTGACTCTGTCTAGAAGGTCTAAGTTTTCTCTTTCTTGCAGATTGATTTCATGTATTATGCGAACACTGATCTTCTGGTTGCATTTCACTGTGACCATCAAGTCTCTTACAGGTATCCTTCAGTTATATTAAAGATGGGTTTGCAACAAAGTTATAACTCTTGTAGAATTGAATTGTAAATCCATCATGGTATAACTGGGAGAATATATAAATCCTATTAGAAGATAAAAATTGATGGAATTTAAATGCAATATTCTAATTTTGTTTGAGGTTAGTTTTTATCTATTAAGGAAAAATCTTCATCATCTTCTAGTTGAAATTTGGCTTAACACATGAATTCTACCAAAATTCTGAATTTATCCCAAAAGTCTTGTAAGTCACATATAATGTCATATCCGCTTCTTTACTCTTTACATCTAATATTGTACTCGCTTCTGCTAGCTATCTTTTCATGACTCTTTACCTTTTCTTTGGATAGATACAAATACAAATATCTCAAGGCAACAACGTCAAACATACCAAGCAGCGTCATAAAAGAAAACAGAGGAAGCAAGTTAACCATTGGAAGAGGCGGAATGTTGAAAGTTCAGCACCTGGTTTCGGTTGCAAGACCTTTTTCCCACACACACATTGATTCTTCTGGCTATAATCAACCTAGTCGTATTGCATATATTGAGTTTTATGTTAAGCCAGAAGAACGGGAAGATGCTGCAGATGGTTCGTAAGACTGAGGTACTGAACTTTACATTTAAAAAATATTTATACTTCCTATTCTCCTGTCTTTCCTAAACCATGCCTCCCTTTCAGCATTTGATATGAATAAATTGTGCAAAATAGTCAAGCAGTCCTCTTACCAAATATTGACACTTACCGGTCAGCCGACCTCCCGAATTCCATATTCGTTTACCAAACTAAAAAGGAACAGCTGACATAAGGGTGCTTATCAGGTGGATCTTAAAGAAATTTGGTAGTCCAAGGCCAAGGTGATCATCTAATCATTGTTAGGATTTTTTCTGTGGAATTTATTTGAACTTTGTGTTTATTTTAATTATAAAATGATGTAAAATATTTTAAAATATAAAAATAGACACTTGAAAATTCTGAAGAGATATAAATATTACATTTTAAATTCCATTAAAATTGATAAGATTTGGAATTTTAATTTCACTTAAAAATATTTAAGATGTCAATTTTAATAAAATTTAAAGTAATTTTGCATTATTTTCTGTTAAAATAAATATATGTTTTTACATAAATTAAACAAATAAATATAGTATAATAAATAGAAGTTATACTAAATTGCACTTATTAACCAGAATCTTACTTATAGTTTAAAGTGATTTTGGATGGCTTTGTTAAAAAAAAAAAGAAAAAAAATGTAGATTCCAACGATTGACAGGCATCTTTGGCACCCGACTGACTCAGCCACCTTCCAATGATTGACAAACATCTTTTGCACCCGAGTGATTCAGCCACCTTTAGGAACTCGCTGTTACACTTATATGGGAGCCTTTTTTCTGGTTACAACTCATTACTCTTAATAAGGTTCTAAGGTTCTTATGTCGTCAATTCGAGATTTTTCTCCGTTTAAATGTAAATAGAATTAAGGTTTCTTTTATAGCAAGAACTTTTTTCAAGTTTTTTCTTATATATATCTCTATATATATATATATTTAAAGCCCATAGTTTTGGGTTTCTGGCCTTTGAGGTTGCTTTTTCGCTACCAATTTATTGCGTTGTCTTTCTAAATGGGGTTGCTGAGAGCACCTAATTTGTCATTTCATTCCCATTAGGCTGAAGTCTTATGGCTTTTCCTTCTCCGTGCCTGGTCACGATTCATTGACCTATCACGTGGTAAAAAGAAGAAAGTATAAAAGAATATTAAATGGATCAGACTGCAGAAAGATTCTAAATATAAGAAGTTCCCCTCGGATTTGGTTTCCCCTTCATTGCCCGAAATTTGAGTTTTTAAACAGTACTAATATTTTATCTTCAGACGGCTCTCTTTCCACACCAAAAAAGGGGCAACGAGGGGTTCATACCTGGCTAATTCACAAATCTTTACTTTGTAATTCACAGTTAATCATAACAGTTTTAAGTTCATAAGAATGACATAATATTTGGAATGGGAGAAGACACTTATTTGAGGGAATGAATGTCCAAGTATACACAACGAAGTAACAAAGAAGCAAAGACTTCCAGCATCCATCAACTGTTTTTTGCAGGCCATTCCTTGGAATTCATTTCACAACGCCTCCGCGCTCACCCTTCCTTGCTGAACCCTATGCATGTGTGTGATGCATCATTGTTGACCATTTTGACAAATCTATGCGGTTAATATAGAATCTTAACTAGTATTTCCCATAAGATAAGCCACAACGAGTCCCAATAAAGCACCAGCAACAACCTGCATCAACCCATTTCAACATTTCAAAATTTTTTTTGATAACTGTTCTAAGAGAATAATAATGATATTGCTCATTAGGTTTAACATTCATTCAAAGTCCACTTATTTCTCACCCTTAATTCTCATGTAAGTCTTAGTTGGAACCCCTCACCTTAAATTTATTAAGAGCGAAGTTCTAATTCCCATTTTGAATAATAGGACTTCAGAGCTTCCAACCCAAATAATTCAAAGAGGTGAAGGTGAGATTAGAAAATAAAAATTATTGTCCAATTCTATTAGTCAAGACTGACATGAAAGTTAAAGGATATGAATTAAGAAAAAGCTCAAGCTTCTCTTAAAAAAAGAACAGAACCAAATTGAATCAATCAGGTCTTATGCTCAGATTTGAATTTCATGTAATAAGAATCCAGAACAAAAGAGAGAGAAGAAAAATAATATTATAAATATAAATAAAGTTCATCTTTAATTTAAATTAATTGCTTTGTGATTCTTTTTGAGAATCTAAATCTATCAATGTGGAATTGAAAATATTACTTAAAAGTTGTTTACTTATTCATAAAATGTAAATTATAAGTAACTTATATATATTAAATAATTAAGATCTACAAAATGAATGGGAATAGAATAAATTTGAAACAAACACAAAGGTCCAAGCTTTCACCCAAGTTGCATCACACACGACACATTGTATATATGGGGCTCCCTCTCATGAATGATACAAAATAAAAGTAAATTAAATTCTATTCTTCTTCCCCATACTCTAAATTGGGAAACGATTATGCTTCTTATGGTTCAGCCATCTTACATACCAAACCTCTCCAAAAGATAAAACTACTAAAAGAACACTCTTCCCAAGCTGCATGGCATAGCGTATGACTGCACTATAGGAAACTATAAAAGAAGACAAAATCCTATCATTTTCCCATGACTATATGCGTTAAAAAGTGATGGACTAAATGAAACTATTTTCCCGATCAAGATGCCGCTTCTCTTCGGCTTAACAAGAAAGATCCACCTAGTTCATGGAATGTAAAAAGGAAAGTACAAAAGAAGCCCACAACAAATAGCATTTACAAGGCATTTGATTTAGTTCTCATTAGCCTTGATACGTACAGTTAGAACTTGAGAATTAAAATTTCACTTCCAAAGAATTCAAACTGAGATGGGGGTAGTTTAAACATAGAAAATCTTCTTGTGATTGTACATATTAAAATGAATGTGAAGTTAGAACTAGGCATTAGTTACTTACAAAAAGAAAACAACTATGCATTAGCTAGGTATGAAATGGGAATTGAATTAAATGGGATATTTAAACAGAATGAGAAGGTTCTGGTATGGTGGATGAAATCCATAATAGCATCAACTTGCCCTTTTGCTAAAAACATTGCTTACTTTGGGAGATGGAGTTTTGACTAGGGAACTTAGAGGGTACTTTAGAGGCAGAAGGCAATGAAATGAAAATTCTGTTTGACAGCTTTGCTGACTCCTATCTTATTCTCCAACCAGAGCTTACTCTTTGTTTTTAACTGGCGCTATCAGGCACTTAAAGACTCAAAACCAAGACCTACACCTCATTTTGGAGGAGATTTATGGCTTAGACTCACAGGCTCGGATGTAGAATTCTTTTTCCTTTGAAATAAAAGAGAGAAAATTGTATTGGTGCAGACACCAAGGGGATGCCACTCATGTACAAAAAAATTTGCAAATCAATGAACATATCTATAATAAAACCAAAATTATCAAGGTTAATAAGCTAATGTCCTAGACTAATGGACCCAAAAAAGTGAAACCATTTGTCATGGACGTTGCCAAAATTATCCTTTTTGCCTTCAAACGCTCGATTGTTTCTTTCTTTCCATAGGATCCAAAAATGGTAAGAGGGATAAGTCTAAAATTCTTGTTTCCTTTGCATAAAATTCGCAGGCTTTCAATTCATCCTTTATGGAGCCAGCTGTAACCCAATGAATTCCAAGGAGCCCCAAGACCATGGTCCACAAGTTCCGGATGAAGAATTCTTTATACAAGTGAAGACAAGTACTCCATATGAAACCAATTGGCTTAGCATTTATGAGATTCAGACATATTTTTTGATGTTGAGTCATAAGTGATTAATCCAGAGTCTTATTCCTAGTAAAGGAATTATATAACCTGCTAAGGGTCTTTGGGCTTATTGTCTCATGGGTGAAAATAGAAATTCCACCTTTTATTTAGTTTATTACATTTTTTTAGAATTTAAAGTCCAAAGTAAAGTCATTTCTAATGAGTAAAGGTTTCTCAAACACCAAATCAAATCTAATCATGAACTCGGACTTAAACGGTTATGGCAAACCCTATGGTTAAATTTTTAACTAATGTTTCCAAATTTAGAGAAGTAGGAGCGCATTTAGTCATCAAGATGATTTTACCTAAAATAGTCAAGTAGAAACTGTAACTTTATACTAATATTGAGATATTCCCAAAACATAAGATCAGGTTAAGGCTAAGAGGCATGATTATTTTAAAATAGAAAGCAGTGTAAAGTATGACAGACCTGGAGGGGAGTATGCCCAAGTAATTCACGCAGAGGTCTAACACTGGATAAAGGATGTTCTGGAGGAAACTCGCACACAATTTGGTTCAGCAACTACAATTGATGCCATGATAAGATGGTGATTAGAAGAAAAGGATATAATAAATATCTGAGTATCTATGCATGCAGATTTGTTTGTCCTAAATGAAAACAAAAGGCAGAAAATTGTTGGAGAATGTGCTGGGAGGACCTACTTCAGCTTGACGACCAGCATGCAGTCTGACACCAGAAGCATCATACATCACCTGTAAATATTCAAGATATTTAAGCGTTCCCACCTTCTCAAATGACTAATCATAAATTTTCAGCTGGCTGAAACAGCTTCAACTTACTAAAAGATATAGCATAAAAAAGAACACCAATAATTCATAATTCAATGATTTTGAAGAAAAATAGAAATTAATATGATCTACAGTCAGACTTAATATTTAAAAAAATTGATCTACAGCCAGATGCAGATTGAACTGGGTTCTACCAGGCAGCCATGCAGTTTGGAATGAAAGTGCAACTACATTATGCATTTCTTCAGAATTGATGTACTGAGGATTTGAAGTATATAGACTGGATGGTTTAGAACATTATTCTTTTTAATAGAAAAGAAGTATCATTAGGAAAGAGAAGGACAACAAATACAAGTAAAAAGAACAAGATATCCCTTGAAAAGTCTCCTAAAAGAAAAGGAAAATAATCGACGTGAGATTGCACTCCAATTTCTTTGTAGCAAAGAAAAATAGACATCTTCAAAGCACTTGTCAAGACTGAAAAGGGCGCAGGAAAGAAAAAGAAATAACCGTTGAGTAGTTAGGAGGAAGAATAAAATGGCAGTAGGAGTATTCTGTCCTTTTAAAGATTGTTTTTTGTTTTTGAATTTTGTACCGCAGGGTAGTACTTGGTACAATTATTAGCTGGAATGCCAGCTATCCTAACAGAATGTATCATCAGGTATTCCTTACATACCTGTACCTCTAACAGAGAGGCATAAGAAAAATATTTAAGCATTTCTATTCTCCCATCATTCTTCTGTATTCACCTTTTTCTCTCTGTTTCTCTTACTCTTCTCCCACAGATTTCCTCTCCTAACCTTCTCCCTTCTATTTCTATTTCTCCGACAAGCCATATTCCCCAGATCATCAACCACAAACCTGATAATTTGGTATCAGAACCGACTGAACCTAGTGGTACCTTCATCAGCTGTGAACCTGGCAAAGGACAGAGGAAAAGCAGTGATGAAAGACACAAAAAATGGCACAGGTGGAAAAGTCTGTAAAGAACCTGGAGCAATGAATGCAGGATTTCATGTCAGACATATACAGCACATTTGACTCGCAATTGGCTGAAAACAATTATCAGCTACAGAATCTACTAATGGAAACTATGCACTTCCTCAGCATGAATCTACAGCCCATTGTCATGTCCTCAAACCCGCTTCCAAATTCACGTCAAAAGCCAACATCCACATGCCTAGCACCCTCTAAAAGTTTACTTCTCACTCCAGAGGGGAAGGAAACAAGAAGCTCCAGCCACACAGCTTCCCCATTGGGCGTGACTCTGGGGTATAACACCCTTTGTATGGAGATTCTCATGCTTGAAGTACCCCGTGGGCATGGTTTTGTCATTGTAACAAATATTCCAGATATATGGAGTTCCAGAGGATCAAAAAGTAGAGTTTGCTACTCTTATTTTTGGGAGATAAACCAAACACATGGTTCCAAGTGTGACAAGCCCAACAAGGGGATCACCTGGGGCGGACAAGCTTCAAAGAAGAAATATACAGGAGGTATGGGGATCCCATCACTGACGTGGTGGAGGAGTTCAACAAGCTTAAGCAAGAAGGTGCTATTACTGAATACCAAGAGAAATTTAAGGAGCTGCAGTCTCTCATATTAATGGTAAACCCTACCTTGAGTGAAGCATATTTTATTTCCTCTCTTATTAGCGGGTTAAAAGAGGAGCTGAAGCCGACCATCAAGATCTTCAAGCCCCAAATACTGAACTTAGCTTATAAGCAAGCTTAGCTAATTGAAGCATTGATGAAGAAGCCTGGGACCAGATCATCCATGGACATACTGAGTCCTTTTATGAGGCCAACAAACTACCACCTTCTAACCACAGCCTTGTCAGGACGGGAGGGATGGAAAATAAACACCCAAACAATTCTTGCTACAAGTGCAATGAGAAATATTACCCAGGTCATATCTGTAAAACCAACAGCCATATGTGGTGGGGACATCTGAAGGAAAAGATGAGGACAAAGTGGTAGATTTGAACCAAGAAGCTGAGGAGAATACTGGGGAAATTTCTCTCCATGCCATGCAAGGGCACAACAATGGCGGCACTGTCAAGTTCTGAGGAACAGTCAACTCTAAACTAACAACGATATTGGTCTATAGTGGAAGCACATATTCCTCTATGGATGCTAAAACCGCTGAAGATTGTGGAGCAAAACTGCTAGACTCTCATCCTTTGCATGTGATGGTAGTCAATGGACAAGGAAAGTTATGCAAACATAGAACCACCTAAATAGACTGGGTGCTACAGAAACAAAAGTTCAGGTACTCCTTTCACATTATTAACCTTGGCCACTATGATGTTATATCGGGGGCGGATTGGATGGAAAAGTACAACTTGGTGTTGCTAGACTTTGACAAGTTACAAGTGGCTCTCAACAAATAAGGGAACAGATAACAATACAAGGAGTACAGGGTGAGGTAAGGTTAAAAGAAATGACAAAAAAAAAATTGGCGCAGGTGGTGCGCAAACAGTGGGGAGAGGAGCCAGTCAGGTGATTCGCTCAGTAGACATACTGGACCAGAGAGTAGAGAAAGATGATGACCACCCAAAAGAACTAGAACAAGAAGCCTTGAGGTCACAGATCTAGAAATACTAGGAAGTGTTCAAGGAGCCCAACTTACTGCCTCCCGCAAGAGAACATGATCACTCAATCCCCTCTCATTCCAGGAGCCACACCTGCAAATATCAAACCATACAGGTACCCATATTTTAAAAAACAGAGATAGAGAGGCAAGTTGCCCAAATGTTAGATAGCTCCATAATCCAACCAAGCCACAACCCCTTTCCAATACTAGTCATATATGACTTGTTGGACGAACTGCATGGTGCCACAACACATTGTAATCATTTATGATGATCATTCCGGACAACCAGTATTATGATTTTGGGACCAAGATCTTGTCATTGGGCGGTTAACAACAAAGTCGTCATCTAACAAAGAGTTAACACCCTTGTTTTTATTGCGAGAGAGACCTATTTTGTGAAAATATATTATAGTTCATCAAAGGGAGCTGCTACTTTTGATCTCGTTAAAGAGAGCTCAAACCTTATAGTTTAAACTAATATTCTGACTTGTTTTTATTAATAGCAAGCATACCTTTTTATATAGAGTCATAATTCTTATTTATAAATTTTAATTTAATTAGAAATCTAAATCTAATTAAAAATACTATATTAATTTATTAGAAATTCTATACTATTTAAGAATCCAATACTAATGGAAAATTACATATTATTTAAGAACTTAATATTAATTAGGATTTCAACTATTTAAAAATTCAATACTAATTAAAATTTCATATTTAATTGAACTTCACCTTCCTATTTAGTCTGTCTTGTCTTTTATATTTATGCCCTACAAATGTCTCTTCTGTTATGAAGACTATCTGGTCGTAAAGATTATCCAGGAGATGTTTTTTTATTTGCAATCACGTCTTTTAGAAGGAGAACTGAATCAAGCTCTTACTCAGCTGAAAGAAACATGACTATAGTCAAGACCCAATTGAGATACATTTCAGCTTATTCCTACCAGTGTAATTTCAATTACAGATGACAAATATTCTTATTCATGGATTTATTCTGCTGAAACAGACCCACTATAAATGTAGGTATTTTGGTTTTCTAGAACAAGATCTGCATCTCAAATTAAAGTTATGAAACAAGTAGATGGCAAATTGAATTGGAATTGGCTCAAGGTGAAAAGGTAACAATCCTTTAGGATTCTAGCTTAGCTCCAACCACAAGAACCACAAAACAGCAACAAACAAGAATGTATTTAGATTCATCACTACATAGAATCATACTAGATTTTGACCGTATCAAGCTCGGAATAAAAGCAAAAGGCAAAATATGCAAACAGAAGTATCTATATTGAGCACAAAAATTTAAAAACAGAGACTGTATAGGGGATGAAGAAAAGTCGCATAACAGGATTGCATTAGAGAGAAGTCAGAAAGCACATACAACACAAGCCAAGACCACTGCAATAGCAAAAGCTGATCCTCCCGTCCCTTCTTGTAGACCTATAGCCACTGCTAAAGCTGTCACAGTTGCAGAGTGTGATGAGGGCATTCCACCAGAATCAATCATCCTTTTAGAATCCCATCTCTTTTCTTTAAACCTGAGCATCTAGAAGACACATATTGAAAAACTGAGCTATTATTTCATAGAAGTTTTAGTTGTGTAGGAAACACATTCCATTATCGGTGAGCATCTTTTGATAAACTAGTAATGCTAGATTCAAAACCATAATAAGAACTCAAATTAGAATCCTGCATAAATAACAAATTCATACAAAACAACTCTTTAGCCAGATGTTAGTGCTCTCCTTTGAAACTGGAGTAGATCCCAAGCTACCAGGTCACATCAACACAGCACAATGCATGCAGTTCTAATTTCTCTTGCTCCAATTTCTCCCGAGCCTATAACAAACTACTCATTGGAACTACATAAGAACATAACTATTCATAGTTCTCCCATTTCCCAAACAAGCAGCAGCTTGAAAAAGAAGAAGGGAGGGAAAAAATCCATTTCCCTTTTCAACATGCAATTAAGGAAACCTCTCCTTCAGTACCAGCAAATAGCAACTCAAATACGAGTCCATGAATAAGGCAAGGGAAATCTGTAAGATTATGTTCCACTGGTACCATTCTCGTTAAATATTGGTCGGAACATTTAAGATTTAAGCTAATATATATATATATATATATATATATATATATAGAGAGAGAGAGAGAGAGAGAGAGAGAGAGAGAGAGAGAGATATTTGGAGATTGTACGGACCAGGTGGTGAAGACCTTGAGGAATTGAGCTAGAGCGAAGGCGAGGAAAGCGGAGAGGAGAGGGAGGTTGCTCGGCAGCAGATTCGATGGAGGCGACGCCGCCAGCGACGCCATTTCACTCCCTTCCGATGAGCTGCCGTCCGCTGTCAGCATCATCCTGTTCATCATCTTCACTTAAATATGGGCCTTTAACTCTTGATTTATTGATCGATCGATTGATTAAAACCTAATGCAGTCTCAAAATCAAACCTATTAAATCCAATACATGATCTCTTCCGTACCCCAAGTCCCCCACAACAAGTGAACCCTCCTCTCTCTCACAGGGTTGCAGTTGCAGAGATGAAATCGCCAATAGGGAAACAGCAAGATGACGGGCCCCACATATGCCCACAGAAGGATGCTGTAGAAAAGGGTATGGGCCTGCGATTGGTTGGGTCTTTCGGCTTTGTCTGAATCTGACACGGAAGTAACCCAGGGAGGTTGTTTGGTTAGAAAGAAAGAAAAAGAAAAACAAATTGGAATTTTCTGATTGATCGGAGGCAAGTAATAGAACTGCAGGCTTCAAGCACGAGAGTTTCTCTTTATATAAACAAACTGGAAGGAATAACTAGAAATGAAGTTTATCTTTCTTCCTGTTCATTTTTCTCGTTTTCTTATAAGGCTGCATTTAGAACATATACATTCCGTTTGTAAAATTTATTTAAAATTCTATATTTATTTTAATTATGAGATAATACAATTATAAAATGATATAAATTAAATTATCTTAAGATTTAAAATTTATTATTTTAATTTTTTATACCCTATATATTATAATTTCAATTTTTATAATTTGTTGAACATATTTATCTTTGATAATTAAAATAAGCATAAAATTTCAAATAATTTTACAAATAAATTAATTAGTTCCAGACACAGTATAAGAAAAAAAAAAAAAAACTAAATTGCATACTTCATTTGCTATTATTATATACATTCATATATATAGACGAACTTAAGATTGTTTTATTTTTATATAATTGGTTCAATTTTTTTATTAAACATAATATCATAGTTTATAAATGGTGTAGCTTTTGTCAAGCGATATATGTGAAAGAGGGAAAAAAAACATTTGAAAATAAATACTTTAATATTTTTAGGACTGATCAAATTATATTGTAAAAGATAATTTTAGTGGTCTAATAAAAAATTATTTGAGTAGAACAGGGTAAGAAACTTTAAAAAGGAATATATATATATATTGAAAAATATCTGGCATTACTCTAATAATTAGCATTCATGGTTCCCAAAAAATAATTATTATTATCAACATTCATGCTGCAATACCAAAATTTCATCTCAATCAGCTCAAAGGTCAAGCTGCCAAAACCAGAAAACTAAGATCAGTCTAATTATATTTCTATATTCGTGTAATTTCTATAGGGTTGTTTGCTGTAGATTCAGTGTATTATCTTTATATCCTTGCATTTTTCTTATCACATGTACAACCACTGATCTCCTGGGAACTCAGTTCTTTTTACACTCAACTTAAAAATCAGGATCATGCTCACCGGCATTTCGGGTGCTGTTATGCTCACTCTGTTTGCTGGGCAATGGGGTATTCTTGCGAGATTGGCGCTTTGTAGCGACAAGTTTAGGTTCGTGTTCAGAGTCCTCAGAACCTGCATCACTATTATTGTCATTCACATCCTTGAAAACTGGATGGACGTAAGCCTCTTTAAGGAAACCTTTTAGGTTCAAGTTCGGCTCCTTTGCACGTTCCAGGGTATCTTTCATCATAGCTTCCTGAAAATCCACCGCAAAATGGAGAATGAGAAGATTTATTAAATTCAAGAATAGAGCTTCTGCAGTAAATATGTTATGTCTGATATGTGAAAATTATAACCACTATACGCATCATAAGCCAAATAATTTCATTTCGCTCAAGAACTAAAGTAGCATTTTGTTCATTTTCTAGTCCAACGCAAGGTCGGAATTGAATTCGCACCATGAAGGAATTTAAAGTCAAAGTAATGGGAAAAGTTAAGCTCATCTAGAATTCTACATAAATTCCTGTATATTTAAATTTTTTGGGTTATCCTAATATAAATGATATATTTTCTTGGTTGAACTAAGTATAAATTTACAAGTGAATTCCACATCATTTCTTAATTTGTTCCAAACATAGTTCCGAACATAATAAATGATATTCTGATCATGCATATTAAGCCTAATATGATAATCAGAATTAGGATTTGACTAGCACTTGAATGAGAAATGAACTAAGCACAGCTTAAGTCACTTTTAGAGAAAACTGTTGAAGGGTAAGATTAAATAAAATGCAGATCAGGATTCCAACTATAGTCTGTAGAAAGAAGTAATAGTTCCATTTGACCAACCTGTAATGGATATTTAACAAAAGCAGGCTCGTATCGCCCCTTGCAGAACATGTGGAACCATATGGTCAATACTGGAAGTGTGATAAGCAATGGAGTCGACTGAGCAGCGTCTTTGGTGCTTAATAATCCCATCAGAAGCAGTTGGGAGACAATTAATGCAATTATGATGCGTCCATGGACATCAGGCCAGAATGCTGCAGCACTCTCATACTCTTGATTGTAAACATTTATGATCTACATGGAAATCGAAGCGGGTATTTACTGGAACAAGCAAACCCGAAAGAATTGCCAAGAATATGCATTATGCTGCTATAAGGTAGAAATGCATTATGCTGCAATACAGTAGAAATGGGGGGAATGGGGAAATGATAATATAATACATGTTTTAACTTGTTCTGCATCAATTAGCAAACAGATAAACCCAAGTTAAACTACGTAGGTTAGAAGATAAGAATTCTAAAAAGAACAAAAGAAAATGAATTCAAGCTAAGCCCTATCTGAATATTAAGGGTGTCAGACAAGGAAGATCGCTAGTATTGTATTTTCTATGACAAAATATATCATTGCTTTTGTTTTCTTTATTCTTCTGCTGCTTTGTTTTTCCACATTGAAAACAAAAAACAAAAAATAAAAAATAAATTCTTTCTTTATCAGCTTTCAAGCAGTTCAGGTTTGTAGCTTCCTCCATTTGATCATTGTAAATGCTTTAAGACAGTGATGGGTTAAGAAACGAGGATGACTATTTTATCTGAACCCTGCAGGGATCCGGTGAGGAATCTGAATGAGAAAATGATTAAATTTAGGCCTTGAAAACTCATATTACATGTTTAAGAATATGATATATTAAAGTTTTGAATAATTCGGTATACTTGTTTTGAATATTTTGTTGTTTCTTTACTTACACAATTTGGATGCATGCGTAAAATAATTTGGATATTTACTTTTTTGATTTTGTATTGAACAAGGGGGATTCCATAATTTGTTGGGATGATTTTTTTGTACCATTAGAAAAATTAAGTGTAAGCATAATTAAATTTTTTATACTAATAAAGAGAGAAATAAACATCTCCTTGGGAAAATGGTAATGAGGAACAAGTTTGTCGTGAATTGAGGACAAGGGATAGGGAGAGGAAAGGTATTCTTTGATCCAACTCTGTTCTGTTGTTACTTCTAATAAGTACTTTGCGCTGATCAGATATCAGATACAGGGAGAACCAGCTCCGATTGTAAAGTAATTAACAAAGATTTCCAAATAATCTAAGAAGACTAAAAGCCCATTTCTGAGAGGAGGGAAAGACGTCACCAGCTCATGAAGTTAGTTCAAGTTTCTAGTTTCCCCGCTTGATCAACAGAAAGGCTTTAAACAAGTGACAGGGTAAGAACTTGGCTCTTCTTGGTCACAGATATATCAATATATGACAATCAGCTTACTTTATAAAGAAATCACTAGCATTCAAAATTAATTTGAGTGTTAAGTAGACTTCTGAAAGGAATAAAGATACTCACCTGATGACGATATACTACATAAGCCAGGCCGAAGAAGACTACTATGAAAGGAAGCAAGATAGGGGTCACGACAGCGTAGACAAGGCCAAGTAGGAAATAAAGTTGTATTTGAGGTTCGCCTGTGTTGAAACCAATAGTTCCTGGATCCATTGCTTCTTCCCTATCCTTTTCAGTCTTCACCAGGAAGAAATTTTTCAAGTGATAAATAATCAAAGGTTTTAGTCTTAGAATCTCTCCAGCAACTCCAGCCCATCCATCGACCATTATATATGTTATGAAGAAAGTTGCCTTCATTGGGATTGAGACACCAATGGTTCTTGGGATACTGCATAGGTAACCTCATAAAGTGATTTTTCATTTTAAATAAAAGAATCTCTAGATTAAAAATGAACAAAATAAGATGTTGAATAGGAGTATTAGTATGATGAACTCCAAGGAAGAATATACTCATTTGCAGACTGGTGAATGAAACTATGTAGTTGCTGAAAAGCAGTTCCCGTTATTATGCTCCCAAGAAACACATTAATAAACTGGAAAATATAATATCTTGTCGCAGATCTTCTTTCTAAGGTTGATAAGCTGATAAATCCTTCAAATTTAGACATCAGCATCAATATGGAAGGAAGAAAGATAAGAAATATCTTCAAAGCAATTCCAGGAAGGAAACCTTGAATAAATGATTTGATTACTTTCCTGTCAAAAATAGGAAATTGTTAAATTGTTGGAGAATAGAATGTAGAGAAACACAGTAATTTTTTTCTTTAAAGAAAAAAGAATAGAACACTAACAGAATTTCCCAAATATGAGAATACATGTAATGAAAAATTAGAGAGTTGCAAGTAAGCAAAATTTTCAATTTTCAGAAGTTAGGAGAGAAACATAAAAAATAAAAATAAAAGAATGAAACTTCCTATTGCTGCCAAGAAAAGAAATGGATGAAACTTACGCTTCAATTATCGGTTTTAAGAAAGGAACTGCTTTCTCAATCCCCTCGATGTTTGCAAGTGATTGTACAAATGCAATAGGAATCATGAAAAAGAAGGTAAGGAAGAAAAATGCCACAAAAATAATAAGCCTCCTAATAGTGAGATAAACAAATGGAATCGCCAGGTTGTCCCAATATACAGCACGGGGCTCTGGAGCCCACTCAGTCAACCACATTGTTGGATTTCTAGATTGTTGAGTTTGTGCACAAACAGCAGCTCCCCATCGAGATTTAAATGAAACAAAGGCTACTGGCATTATGGATTTAGAGCTGTTCATGATCCTTTCTGACTCCAAGGCCATCTGATATAGAAGACAAACAATGAAACAGAAACTTTTAGATGAAAGCATTATTCTTTTTCAACTAAAGACAGAAACCAATGATGTTTCTAACAGCTACAAAACATTACTATTTATTTTGCTTTTCTTTTTCATATTATATGACTTCCAGAAATCTAAGAAAGTGGAAGAAACAATTAATTAAAAAATTAAAGGATGAGGAGGAACCTGGATATATTAATTAATAAGCAAACCACAAGTTGGGGATATTAGGATTCTATAATGTTTTGTAACCTTAGAACTCTACATCCTGGTGACTTGTAACATTATAAATATCACATTCGTGCTACGAGTAAAATCAACCATTGGATATTTTTCATAACCATTAATGGTATCAGAGGCTAAGTATAAAAAGAATAATGTTAGTGATAAACACAAACTATAATGCAGATAAGAGCATATTATCCTTTTAACAAGAAGCTCCGGGTTTGCTACTTACTTCTCTTGATAGTCTCTCAATTTTGGCCGTGTAAAAATCAATTGCATCTCTCCTACTTCCCCAAAGCCCAAGAAAACCAGTCTGCTAGACAAAAGAAATCATCTTAATTGCCCTTAAGATAACAGCTATTAGAAGTTAAAAAGAAACATGACTCCCTATAATCTTCTTCCTTTTCAGAGTAGAAATGATAATAAGAGGGAAAGGGAATGGATCTGATCAACATGACATAAGCACATCACTAAAAATACAGTACCTTCATTGAGGGCCTCCTAGATTGATTTCTTGAATACTTATTTTGATAGTAGTCAACCCAATTCTGCACTTTTTTCTTTTCATTAACTAATTTAGCAAGTTTATTTGCGTTGTAAACTACCTGCACCAGAAGCTTAATATAAGAAATAAAAAACTAAAAAGAAAAGAGGAAATACCAATATAAAATTAGTAGCATATTATCTAGGGGCAGACATTACAAATTCCATATATAAGTAATCAGAGAATAAAGCATTAACTGTCTCAATATCACATAGAAAATAAAATTGATAAAAATATTAACTCCCAGACTATGACATGGCTTTTATGTTCTAATGATCGACGATCATCCAAAATGCAGGAATTGTTTCATGGACAATGTAATACGTGGAACAGGTAACCAGGAGTGCATTTTTGTGCAGTAACGAACATGTCTAGAAGACAAAATGCAATTTTCCCATTCTCCCTTTCCTCAATTATGTGAATTTAATGAAAGGATATGATCATATGGGTAGAGCAAATGCTTGACAGCATGCATGTGCATTTGTACAGAGTGTAACTGAGTCAAACCTGGTGACTAAGATAGTGATCCGGATGGTTAACCAGAAAAAAATGTTCCACAAGCTCAGTAATTGATTCATCAGGATCTGGTGGGATATTTCTAACCAGTACCTACATGAAAGATAAATCAGTTCTAAAATTTGGACCAAGAATCTCTAACTGTAGCTAACCACTAGAGAAAGCAGGGATGTGGAATGTAAACTCTCTTTCTGAAAATAATAATAATAATAATAATAATACTAGAAGCTCCAATTTAGCATGTACCAACAACCAGGAAGGTTTGCTCCTCACACGCACAATCTAAATAGCGTTATGCTTTCAATATAAAGGGGGATCAAGATTTCAAAACTTGATTATGTAATTTGAATGTTGATCTAGATCTCTAGCATGTTTAACTGATAACAAATTTCAAAAACAAGCTTCAAACATACACACTCTTCATTGCCAGGAAACAAATCCCTAGCTCAAAACTTTTCAACCAAATCAGTCATTTAAGTCTTGCAGTTCATGTCACATATGTAAAAAGAACAAGAAAGCAGACAGAGAAAAGAGAAGGTAAGGGCCGACGATGAACAAAACAGGCATAAATTAAATGTAGATAAGAGATAAAAGGAGACACGTAGACAGGGGACAGAACAGAGTAGAGACAGCTCTTTAAAGCGAAGTTGATATACTCTCTCAAAAAGCAAGCACAAATCTAAGGCTAAGCTTCATAAGAAAAAATCTCATACTTCCCGTTGTTAAATTCTAATATTCAAATTCTTAAGTAGATTTGAGCACTGAACTCCAACCAAACAGAGCTAGTGCCAAAATATTTCCACCAAATCTGCAGCGTGACAAATACAAAGGCTTGTTTACCGTAAATTGATCTGGTCTCTGTTGCTCTGTTGCAAGAAAATGCAGTCTCATTTTTGCAACTATCTCGTACTCTCTTTTCAGTATATAGCATGTCCAGAAGGTAAAGGCATAAGCCATAACCAAATGGGTCCAAAATCTGCAATAGACACAATGAAAGAATATAGTGTTCTTCCTTAAATATTGGAATATCTGCAGCCAAGATATTGGAGAATAAGTTAATCAGTCAAGGAAATATTCAATATCTTAGAAAACTAAATCACCAGCCCAAGTTGTACACAAATGCCACTAACATTAAAAGGTTGAAAGAATGAGATCCATTAACCAATACCATGAAGTTCATTAACCAATCACCAGTATAAGTGTAACAATGATGCCACTAACGTCAACAATATTTTCATTAACCAATACCATGAAGTAAACACCTGTCTCAATACATTGCACTTTCATCATGAATGCAATATAAGATTATAAATCACCCCAAATTGTAGCAATATGTGAAAGTCAAGGGGGCAATGAAAAGCTCTAGCAGCTATACGCATAGTTCAATCTGTTCACC